GACAGACAGACAGACACAGAGGCGATGGCATAAGCCCGCTTATATAGCTTTTAAGCAAAAGAGCGGGCTAAAAAGAATCCCATTTTAGTCCCAAACCCCAAATCCTGATTTAGCCCCTTATCCCAAATCCAGAAAACTTGCCAAAACGGGTCAAAACAGGGACAAGGGATTCCGGTTGGTATTATACCAAATCCTTTCCAAAATCCCCCCGGAAGCCCGTGGATAGTATAGGCGGCGAAACCGATACAGCTAGGTTACAAGTTTGCTCCTAACGACTAATATACATATACATTATACATGTATAGGATACTTCCCGACCATGTGATCACGCCTGTCATGTCAAGAATTGCCTAGGAACCTTCCTTCACTATTTTCAGATTACACCAAAAAACGGCGTGGCGAGGCCAAAAGGGAGTTCGAAAGGAATTTCATAAAAAAGGGATTTCAAAGGGATTTTCACAAGTTCCAAATCCTCTTTTAGTCCCTCAAAGAGAGAGGGACTCTTTTGGTACTAGAATGCGGCTGATTCGGGTGTCTCCTTTCTATTAGGGATTTATTATCATTGTTATCCTTCGTTCGACCATGTAGCGCGTTTTCAGGCTGACAGAACCGTTGCGAATGCCTCATAAGTATTATGTAAGAAAAACATGATTTTGTGATGTGCGGGTTGCCTACCTATGTTGATAGAGGTTCAAAATTGTCACACGACCAAGCGGAAGTCAACACTTTCCACACAGAACTACAATGGCAAGGTTTAAGTAGAAAACCGCTCGTAAAAACCACCAAACCTTCGAAAACTGACACAGGGGTCAAAATGACCCCTCCGGTAGTGCGAGGTATATGTTATAATATCTCCTAAAGTTTTTGACGCACATGCCGGGTTTTTCGTGTAAAAGCGTATTTTGGTAACCCAACCCATAAATAGTCTAAAAGTGGCGGGTCGGTAGAATTTGTTTTTGATATGTTCATTTGGCAATTCAACATCGAAAGGTGTCATTTTGCGTTTTACAAAAATGTTTTTAATTACTTGAAAGTACGGACTTGTTGTGAACATTTTATCACACTTGGACGAGATACACACTGTTGTTAGGGTCTTCAGAAGAACAGCTGACATGTATGATTTCCCTTTTCCATCCACCATCATTGGAAGTTGTGTGGTTGGATTAAGATGAGCACCTCACAACTTATAATATTTCTGATGTGCTATTTAAGTGCTTTATGCTTCCAATGGATGCTGAAAATACTTATGCAGCTATTCCATTAGTCCATATGATGTAGTTTTTGTTGGTGAGTAGTTGGGATAGCAAATGTAGACTGGTTTTGTTTACAGTGAGGTTGTAATATTTTGTAGATGCATGCAGTGGAGCTGTCTGAATTAAATAACTGTTTTTTTCAAAAGTTGTTGTATAAAATCGACTGTCATTAACTTCATACTTTCTGGTAGCAGAAAAAGATGGGGTTGGTTCACAACCTGGGTGATGATGGCCAATTCCACACCCAAAAACTCAAAAAGCCTAAACTTACGAGGAACACTCCTCTGGCACCAGTTCCAGTGGCTAGCAACTCCAAAGGACTGCCAAAGGAAGTGTTATTAGCTTTTCACCCATTTTAATTTAGATATTTTCATAGTATGTTACTGTCACTAACATAACGGATCTGTCCAGGAACATCTTTCAGGTGCCCACGTAAGGCCAGTCCCTTCTGGAAATTAGCTTATCTGAAATGCCTTTAATTTTCCTGGGGTAATAATAGTAAGTGGGGTTCAGGCTTCTGTATTGTTAGTTCCTTGGACATGAGAAAAGACTGCAAAAGTGCGACACCATGACAACACCCCACCTTTCTGCTCTAAAAATAAACAAAAAAACTTGTATTGTTCATCAAATAGTCTTAAAACTGGACTTGTCGCCATTGCTTTTAGTATATCGATCTCTAGCTCTGAAACGATTGAAGACATGTCAATTCCAAAGACTGATTTTGATTCAGTGTGTGCTGTTTTGGACGGTACTTCCTCTGTAATTTTTCAGTTTGAAGCCTTCTCGTATGTCTTTCTGTACAGTGTATTTTCGTCGAAAAAGTACTTCCGGTGCCAAAACGGTTAGAGATACAGCCAAAAGGACAAAAATTTAGGTCAAAGGATTCTATATTAACGAGTTCCCTCTTACGAGATGATAGAAATATAACTTTTTGGAACATTATTGACCTTCCCCGTTTTCTTTGATACCTCTTTTCAGCCACTTAGGGTTGTGAACCTTAAGAGCCCGGTGGATAGCTCTTTTTAATCAGAAGGGCGGGCTAAAAAAACGTCGACACGACTGCGCGGATCACTCACCCTGTATGAGTAGTTCAAAGTAAACATGGCGAGAAGAAAAAGGTCTGCGCATAGCCGCCTTTCATCGTATCTACAGAACTTATTGGCACAATCAGAATAATCACCTTACGGTCAGGCCGCTAGAGGGCAACACATACTGTACAAAACCTATAGACTTTCACTATCGACAGTTCGAAGAAGGGCAAGTAAAAAAGCAGACGCAATAGGCAGGTTAGTTTTGCAACATTCTCACTCTGCATTTCTTTTTAATGAGTGCTATCTTAATTAATTTAATTGTTTAATACAGTATTGAAACTCGGCCTTAATTCGAGCATGTGTCACGCATGGGAAAGAGCGCCAAGAATAGTCACTCACAGTTACAGTTAAGAGGTTTAGGAGTTACAACTCCTGAACTTGTTTCGCAGTTGCAGCTGTAGAACTAAAAAGCTTCGCAGTTACAGCTGCATAGTTTTTGTTTCGCAGTTTCAACAGCCAGACTTCTCCGAACTAGGAGCAGAGGGTGAATCGTAGTTACAAATGATCTGAATCAGTCACAGTTGTGCAGAGCATTGCTTTGAAGAAATGTAAGAGTGCGGCTGCTGCACTAGGTGATGAGGGCTAAAGCTCTGGATCTGGGACTTACGTTGGGTGGGGGCGTGGGTGGCGTTGGCGTGATGCTTAGGCATGAGAAAATCACACGACGGCGAGGAGGGAAAAGAAGTTCAGTGAGTATAGCGGCCGATCACTCGGAAGCTTTTATGAAGCCCTCTCCTGTTAAGACAACTAGTGTAGCATGACTTTCATGTGGTCACCCTAACTTGCTAAATCATAGGTTTACAATATGAAATAATACCCTGCACCTAATGTGTCAAGCCCGTTAAGCTTCCACCTCCTTTTTAGCAAACAGCGACATTCCTACCCCACGACCTTCACCTCCTCCGTCACCCTCACCGACGGACAACTGTCCGGTGGGTTGTCTGTGGCCGGCGCCGCCGGCGTACAGCCGTGAGTGCAGCAGTTCGACGACCAGGATGAGAACGGACGCCCCCATCCCGGCCACGATGAGGTAGTACGCGTTCCTGGCGCCGATGAAGCTCACCGACATGAACCTCGCCCCCATCACGTCACAGCGGGGCTTGCTGTACAGCCCTCTTATGATGAAGCGGTGGCGAAAGCCCCTCTCCCACTGCAGTAGTAGCCTAGGCAAAATTAATTGAAACAGATTAAGAAAATAAAAGAAGGCCGTACAGCATTAAGGTAAGTACCACGTCCCCTCCCCTCAGAGGGTTCATCGCGCCTCACAATGGAAGGTTTTTTCGGTGACACAGTCAGATTTTAATGACGCTTTAAATTGTACTTGTTTGCATCCCTAGATAAGGTTTGGCACTGGTTTTAGCTGCCCTTAGGGAGTTTGAAGGTCATTTTACGCAAATTTGATCCAAAATTTCCTAAATTTATTGCTTTATTGCCATCTTTGCATGCACATATCACTGGAACCGTTTGTGCTACAGCGTCCAGATTTTGCAGGAACCCTAGAGAAAAAAGTAACTGAGATTACGTTGAGCTTGACTGGAATTAGAGAGAGTTGACTGGCTTAACCCGGGTTTTGTAAGAGCAACTGGGATTGCCTGATTATTCTTTGGTTATTGCCTATTATACTAAGGATTTACACGGCTTTAGTGAGCGGCCGGCTCGCGACATAATGCAGTTATCATCAGTTAAAATGCAACTAATCGCAGTTACTTTGGGAACTGGCATTGACTGGCAATCCTGGAATTCTAGCTGTAAGTGAGGCTGATATTAGGTTTGACTTGGCTGACTTTCGCTGTTTGCATAGCACACCTTTGATCAGTATTTTCTTAGTTATTATCAGTTCAACTTGAACTGTTTTTTGTGAAATGTTACCTGAACTTACACGACTTTGCTGCTCATGTAAGATCAGTTCAGTATGTTCAATTTCAACTGAATTTTGTTTGAGTTTTGGCTGGTGATGGTGTAATAGTCGGATTGGTTTGTATCAGGTGAAGACTCACTAAAGTCAGTGCAGTCACGTAACTGGTCTTACACTAGAAAAGGCTGAGTATACACATCACTTGGTCCAGAACAATTATCAGCCAAAAAAATACTATATTCAGTGAGATTCTGGAACTCACATTGTGTATCGGAAACTGATTTTTGTGATTGCGAGCAATAATGTTGAACCAACTAATATGTGACTAATGTCAGTCCGGTGTGTGACTGACATGAGCTGACATTCGACTGATTTTAGAGAGGTGCCTTTAATCAGTTATGATTGATCTAAGCTCAGTCGCGTCCTCAGCCAGTGACTAAAACCAATCAAAAATCAGTCAAGGCCCTCAGTCAAAATCAGTCATTTTCGTCTCAATTCCAGTAAGGCAAAAAGTGGGCTCAGTATAATCAGTAAAATTAAGTGTAAAATCGGGTAAAAGCCGAGAATATCCGGGTATATTCGGTTAAAGCCAGTCAGACTCGCCAATACTCAGTTAAACCCAGTCAAATTTTTTGTTAAATACAGTTAAAATGAAACAATTCCCAGCTATCTTTTTCTCTAGGGAAGTTATCTTCCAGTGAGCACTTTTCATGAAAAATATTTAAACAAAATCATTGGGGGTCACCAAAAGGGGTCCAGAGTCGTAACCTCCTCTCGGGACCCATTTTTGCGACCAATTTCAATTTCGTTCAAATTTTCTACAAGTAAAGCACGTGCCGAATTATGATTTCTCTCAAAATCTGGGAGCTGTAGCTAAAAACAGTTCTTGAGATAAGTGCATGTAAAGCAGATATCAGGCTATAAATTTGGTGAATTTTTAATTAAATTCGTGTACACCGACCTTCAAACACCCTACGGGCAGCTAAAACCAATGCAAAACCTTATCTAGGGGTTTAAACAACAACACTTTAAAGCACTAATGAAATCTGACTGCATAACCGGAAAACCTCCCCTTTGCAAGTCCGCGAAAAGGCCACTTTTCTTATGCGAGGGACCTCTCTCTCTTCTGTGCACAGAATCACCCTGCAGTGAGATCTGCCCCGCCCTACTTGATCTTGAGAAGATGAGTGACCGGCGAGTCCCGGCGCGTTACTAGGTGCGGGTGCCTCAGTGGTGAGTAGCCGTCCACCTCAAACAAGTCGCACTTCTCGTGCTCCTCGAAGCGTGCCTGCGACAGTAAAACACCATCCGCTGACACATGGATTCCCCCGGCCTAGGCCCGGCCCAAGGCCTCACCTCCCACCTGTATGTGCCCGTACATTGGGGAGTCCATGGCCACGAAGGCAAACAGCCCCTCCTGCATCCGCCGCACGCCCTCCGTCATGCTGATGAAATTGCGCGGCCGACCGGGCCTGGCTATCTTATCGTGGTACATGCCGCGCCGAACGTCGTCCCCCGTCGTGCCCATTTGCTATGGAGCAGATCGTTGTACACTTCACTGATGATTTGACAAAGGGGTTTTAGTCCACCTCAGGGTGGTTTTCACATTTTGGGTGCAAAACGACGTGTGCATGGTAAAAATTATGCCAACCAAACGGCATGTTGATATCTTGAACAGTTTGGCCAGTTTGATATGTCACAAATGGACATCAGAGTTCTGACAGAGTAACATCAGGATAAAGGAACGTAAGCCCACCAGTGGTATTTAACAGAGGAACATAAGTCCAGACATAATGCGACAGAGGGACCTAAGGCCATCAACAAGATTTTACAAAGGAACATAAGTCCAGGTGTAGCTTCACAAAGGAGCATAAGTCCACCAACAAGGTTTGACTGTGGAACATAAGTCTGGGTGTAGCTTCACAAAAGAGCTTCCTAAAGACATTAAAAACGGCACTTGTCAGGATACTAATAGTGAGTGTGTAGAGAATTCATTAGACATCCCGTAAAACAGATTGTCTTCTGGACGTAGTTTCCAAGGATTAGAGTGATACTTCCAGCATCCATAGCGCATCCGCTTTCGAGTCTTGTGTGAGACGTATTAAAGTCATTACTCATCCATCAATAATTTCAGGTTAATTCCTAAGTGCTTAGTTAAGCCTACCTCACTCCTGCCGTCACTGTTACCATCAGCCATGGTTCGAAATTATCAAAGGAAATCTACAAAAGGCATGCATTCTGATATTGCCATGCGAACAGCCCTTGAATTTGTTAAAAAACGTTAACACTTCGTGTAAACTGCGAAACAAACCCATGATAAGGAAAACTAAATTATATATCCTAATGTAGATAAAGAAGTAAACATTTTTAGTTGTATGGGGTGTGCTTGGCATATGCTGTCAGCCCATATTGCGTCTTGGCCCCTGCGGCATGAAATGGTATGCAAACCTGTTCGCTCTGACCGAGGGGACCGAGGCACTGACCACATGGTACCTGGATTTAAACAATGGTGTCGGTGTGGTAGCACGAATGTGTGCACCGTAGAAAGTTCGATTGAGCACCAGAAAGCTTGGA